GAAAATCAGTAATAAAAGGAAAAGATATGCATTTTCTTTCATTTTTCTAGTAAATTTACTAATAAGAAAAAAATTATTTATATGTGAGTTCCAGTAGATATAGTTGAAGGAAAAATAGAATTAGAAATTCACCATTTTACAGCGACTACTGTAATGATTATATCAAGTAATATCTTTATTTGTTTTAGTTCTGTGAAAAGTGTCATTAGTATTTTGACATGGATTGCACTGAATATGCAGACTGTCTTGGGTATTATTATCATTTTAGCAATTAATTCCTCCAATCCATGAACATGATCTATCTTTCCTCTTCAAAATTTTTCATGTGTATCTTGGCAGTTTTCTGGGAATGAGTCCTTTACCTCCTTAACTAGATTTGTTTCTAGGTGTTTTTATTTCTTTAGTTTTTGATGTAATTGCAACTGTTATTACTTATTTCTCTATTAGATAGTTTATTGTTAATACATAAAAACACAACAGATTATTGTATATTAATTTGATATCCTGCAATTTTACCAAATTCATTGGCAAGATCTAATTGTTTTTTGATGATGTCTTTAGTATTTTCTATGTTTAGTATTATACTATCTGCAAACAGAGATGGTTCACATCTTTCTTTCCAATCTGGATTTTTTTTTCCTTGTCTGCAATGGCTAAGATTTGCATAATAAAATATTTATTTAAACGTGTTAAATAAAAGCGGCAAGACTAGGCATTTTTGTCTTGTGCCTGATCTCAAAGGAAATACTTTCAGCTTTTAATACTTGAGTATGATGGTAGCTGTGGACTTGTCATTTATTGCCCTTATTATACAGAGGCATGTTCTTGCTTGGAACGTAGAAGAGTTTGGATAGACAAAATAATCTTGATAAAGAACAAAGCTAGAGTTATAATCCCTGATTTAAAAATTACCATTTGAAGCTATAGTAATCAAAACAGTATGGCACTGGCAGAAAAATCACACATGTAAATTAATGGGACAGAAGAGAGAGGCCAGAAATGAGCCCACACTTACATAAGCAATTACTCTATGACAAAGGAAGCATTAATGTACAATAGAGGGAAAATAGTCCCTTCAATAAACAACATTGGAAAGACTGGACAACTACATGTGAAAGAATAAAACTGAACTACACTCTCATACTGTGCACAAAATTAAATTCAAAATTGACTAAAGATTTAAATGTAAGACCTGAAACCATAAAAATTCTAGAAAGAAACACAGGCAGTAAGATCTTTGACATTAATCAGGGTTTTTCTGGGGGGATATGTTGCCTCAAGCAAGGGAGGAAAAATGTAAATAAGTAAGACTACATCATGGGATTCTCAAGGCAAGGATACTGAAGTGGTTTGTCATTCCCTTCTCCAGTGGGCCACATTTTATCAGAACTCTCCACCATAACGTGACCATCTTGGGTAGCATGGCTCATAGTTTCATTCAGTTAGACAAGGCTGTGGCCCATGTGATCAGTTTGATTAGTCTTCTGTGATTGTGGTTTTCTTTCTGTCTGCCCTCTGATCGATGAGGATAAGAGGCTTATGGAGTTGGTGAAGGACAGAGAAGCCTGGCATGCTGCAATCCATGGGGTCGCAGAGTCAGACACGACTGAGTGACTGAACTCAACTGAGGACTCTATCAAACTAAAGAAAACTTTTGCACATCTAAGGAAACCATCAATAAAATGAAAGTCTCCTACTGAGTGAGAGAATATATTTACAAATAATATAACCAATAAGGGATAATATATAAAATATATAAAGAACTCATAGAACTCAAGATCCAAAAAACAGTTTGATTAAAATATGGGCAGAGGTTCTGGACATTTTTCCAAAAAAATGAATACAGATGGCCAACAGGTACATGAAAAGAAACTCAATATCATTAATCATCAGGGAAATGGTTATTAACGTCATAATGAGATATCATTTGACACCTGTCAGAATGGTTATTATAAAAAATACAACAGATAACAAGTTTTGATGATGATGTGGAGAAAAAGAAGGCCTCATGCACTGTTGGTAGGAACGTAAAATTGTGTAGCCCCTATGAAGAAGAGTATGAAGATTCCTTAGAAACTTAAAAATAGCCCTGCCATATGATCTAGTAATTTCACTCTGGTATATTTATCTGAAAACACTCACTAAAAAATATACATGAGCCCCTATGTTCATTATGATATTATTTACAATAACCAAGATATGAAAACAACCTAAGTGTTCATCAATAGAAATATGGATAATATATGGTATACATACACATACACAACAGAATAATACTTACACATAAAAACGGATAAGTCTTGCTCTTTGCAACAATGTAAATGGACTTACCACCTGATCCACCTCTTGAGAAATCTGTATTTCTCAAGAAATACAGGAGAAATTTGTATTTCTTCGCAAGTCAGGAAGCAACAGCTACAACTGGACATGGAACAACAGACTGGTTCCAAATAGGAAAAGGAGTACGTCAAGGCTGTATATTGTCACCCTGCTTATTTAACTTATATGCAGAGTACATCATGAGAAACACTGGGCTGGAAGAAGCACAAGCTGGAATCANATGTTAAGTGATAAAAGGCACACAGAGAAAGAAAATAACATATAATTCTATTTAAATGTGGAACCAAAAAACAAATCATATGAACAAACATAATAAAACAGAAATAGATTCTTAGGTACAGAGAACAAATAAGTGGTTGCCCATTTGAGGGAAAGGGTGTGAGGGAAGGAAAAAATAGGTAAGGGAGATTAAAAGGTATAAACTTGTAGTTGCAAAAGAGAACAGTCACCAGTATGAAATATACAGTGTAGGGAATATAGTCAATAACTTGTAATACCTTTTTGTGGTAACATATCATAACTAAACATTATGGTAATCATTTTGCAATGTATAGAAATATCAAATAACTACATTGTGTAACAGAAATTAACATAGTGTTGTAGATAAGTTGTTTTACTTCAAAAACAAACTCATAGAAAAAGAGATCATATTTGTGGCTTTCACATGTAAGGGTGGGGGGGAAGGAAAATTGGATGAAGGTAGTCAAACATTACAAACTTCTAATTATAGATAAATAATTACTAGGAATGTAATGTAGATCATGGGAAGTATAATTAACACTGCTTTATGTTATGCTTCAAAGGTAAGAGCATAAATTCTGAGTTCTCATCATAAATTTTTTTTCTATTATATAAATTTGTGTCTATGTGAGATGATGCTAGTTCACTAAACTTACTGTGATAATTATTTCATGATGAAGTAAGGAAAATTATTATGCTGGGCACTGGCAACCCACTCCAGTACTCTTCCCTGGAGAATTCCATGGACAGAGAAGCCAGGTATGCTGCAGTCCATGGGGTTGCTAGGAGTTGGATAGGACTGAGCGATTTCACTTTCACTTTTCACTTTCATGCATTGGAAAAGGAAATGGCAACCCACTCTAGTGTTCTTGCCTGGAGAATCCCAGGGACGGGGGAGCCTGGTGGGCTGCCGTCTATGGGGTCGCACAGAGTCGGACACGACTGAAGCGACTTAGCAGCAGCAGCACTTTAAACATACAGAGTACTGTATGTCAGTTGTATCTCAGTAAAACTGGAAGAAAAAAGGGAATGCTTAAAGTATTTTTTAAAATATTTCATGAGAAGTTGACAGGGTTTGATTATTCTAAAGAGCAAAAACATTACCCCAAGTATTATTTACTGATTTTAAGATGTAAAGCGAACAAAAAACCATGACTTTGGAATAGAGGGAACAAGTTGTCACTTCCTTAAGTAACTGATCAACCATTAATAATGGGACAACTAGATGCAGTGTGTCTCCTGACAGGATGCCGTATAACATACAGAGCACCACCTAGAAAATATTTCTGCCAAAATGCTGAGTGTAAATCTAATCAGTCTTTATATATCATTTCTGGTTTACAGGGAGTTAGAAAAGTAAAATTAAATGGCACTACAAAGAAGTAATGTAGGCCATTTTATAAGATAATTGATCAGGTTTTATCTGCGAGTGAATACCATTAAAAAGAGGCATTTTTATCTCTTAGGGGGTAAAAAAATGCAATATTTAGACCTTGTATGGAGTCTGATTTGAACACCAAGCATTACAAGACAGTTTTGAGACAACTGAAATACAGAATTGGTATTATATTATATTAAGGACTTCTGTGTTCTCAAAATATAGCCTCAAACTTGTTTGACCCTCCTATCATTGAGAGATTCAATAAGGCTGAATCTGGACAGGCTTATTGCCGGTTTGAACAATAGAGTGCATCAAAAGTAACTCTATGTGATTTCAGGAGTTAGGTAATTAAAAAAGCCATGTGTCTTCTGTCTGGTAATACTGGGTGAGCCACTCAAGTGAAAACAATCTCTAAGTAGGAAGTCCAGCTACTTGATGACTACCATGCTGGAAAATATACATGTAATCATTTCTTTCCTCAATCCAGGTCATCTCTGATGTAGGAAAAGGGCAGATTAGCCAAGATGGCATGGTCAGGCTCTCTCACCCCATAGCCTCTGGCTCTTGCCCACGTTTTGTAAATAATGATTATGGAATGGCTGAGTCATTATAGCCCTGCACTGCTCGGGATGTGCACTTGCCCTTCATGAGGTACCAGACTGGGCACAGGCTCCTTGGTGCCGTGTGCCTGTGTAAGATCAGCAGGGAAGCCCTGGCTGCTGCTGCACTGGGGCTCCATTGTAGAGACACCATCGTTTTGCTACATGAGGTTATATTATGGTTCCTTTACGGTGATGTTGTGGCTGTTGCTATGACTGCTGCCTCATCCAGGAGAGTAGCTGAGCTATGGCTGCCAGGCCAGCCAGGAGAAAAGAAACAGGTTTGCAGTTCCTATGGCTCCTTGCTTCTTCTTCCAGACTCTTAGCTTGAGCCTTGCCTGCCCTGGATTCAGCGAACAGTGTAAACAGTGTGAACCGCAAGATAGTTGGTGTTGTGAACAGGATGATCACCAATACAACAGGCATAGTCAGCAGGATACCCAGCAGGTAGGGAAGCCTGAGGCTCCACTGGATGGAGGAAGCCAGTGGCCAGCAGATAGCAAGTGGTACTGTGTGTCTGTGACTTTCTTGGCGTGGGCTCCAGGGGAAGACTGGGAGGCGGTGGACAGGTCACCAAATAGCGCTGAAAAGCTGTCAGTAGTGGTGAGTTCCTGTTTGCCAAACAAGGCCTCATGTACTGCCGCTGGCACTGTGGGGTGGATTTTCCTGATGCTTTGAAGGTGAATATGGACCATCGCCGATGTGATGTTGCATGGTGCATAATATGCAGAGAAGCTTGGGCGAACTAGAGCAATGTATATTGGCATTAGAGCAAGAACCCCATGACCCTGAAGAACCCAGCATCTCTGACAGCAAAGTGGTAAGTGACAGTGATGAGGAAGCTTATGAGAATGCAGGTCCATGCTTGGCAGAGAGGCACATTTACAGCAGAAAGTGAAGCAAGAGTAGCGTACGGCCCAGGGGAGGCATCCTCAAGGGCTGAATGTGACTGAGTTCACAGACCATATACTCAGGTGAAGTTGGTTATCTTGGAAAGCAAGGAGAACATTTGACGGCATGGTTCGTGTGACTCTGGGACACAGGGGTGTTGCTGTTCACTTACTCAGTTGCAACCCCACGGACTGGAGCAGGCCAGGCTTCCGTGTCCTTCACCAACTACTGGAGTTTGCTCAAACTCATGTCCATTGAGTTGGTGATGCCATCCAACCATCTCATCCTCTGTTATCCCCTTCTCCTCCTGCCTTCAAACTTTCCCCGCCTAAAGACCTTTTCCAATGAGTCAGCTCTTCACATCAGGTGGCCAAAATATAGGAGTTTCAGCTTCAACATCAGTCCTTCCAATGAATATTCAGGGTTGATTTCCTTTAGGATTGACTGGCTTGATCTCCTTGGGGCGGTTGTCCAAGGGATTCTCAAGAGTCTTCTCCAGTACCACAGTTTGAAGCTATCAGTTCTTTAGCACTCAACCTTTTTACTGTCCAGCTCTCACATTCATACATGACCACTGGAAAAACCATAGCTTGGACTAGATGGACCTTTGTTGGCAAAGTAATGTCTCTGCTTTTTAATAGGCTGTCTATGTTGGTCATAGTTTTTTTTTCCAAGAAGCAAGCGTCTTTTAATTTCATGGCTGCAGTCACTGCCCACAGTGATTTTGGAGCCCAATAAAATAAAAGGTCTGTCACTGTTTTCAATGTTTCCCCATCTATTTGCCATGAAGTGATGGGACTAGATGCCATGATCTTTGTTTTTTGAATGTTGAATTTTTAGCCAGATTTTTCACTCTCTTCTTTCACCTTCATGAAGAGACTCTTTAATTCCTCTTCACTTCCTGCCATAGGGTGATGTCATCTGCATATCAAGGTTATTGATATTTCTCTCCATTAATATGGAGGTTTCTCTGGTGACTCAGTTGGTATAGAATCTGCTGGTAGTGCAGAAGATTCGGGTTTGAGCCCTGTGTCAGGATGATCTCCTGGAGACGGAAATGCCTACCCATACCAGTATTCTTGCCTCGAGAATTCTATGTATAGAGGAGTCTGGTAGACTACAGTCCATGGGGTCGCAAAGAGTTAGACATGACTGAGTAACTAACACTTTCTATGTTAATATCTGGGATTTGGATGGGATGCAGCATATATGACTAAATAATTGCAGTCATCGACTCTTTATTATGTGTCTATGAGAGCTTATTGCATTACACTATTTTTTTTTATTAGAAATATTTTATAATAGCTTTTAAAGATGACCCACAGGGAGAAAAAGTAAAGATTTGTTATAACTTAAGTTAGGCCAGAGGAGCAAAGGACTATGGTGTCTTGTAATTTTAATCTAATCCTATAAGAAAGGTAGAATTAACATAAGACTTGAGAGGGAGTTAAAAGATAGATTTGAGAAGAATTAAAGATAGAATGAAAACTATGAGATTAAAAAGAACCTCAAAGATAACGATAAAATCACTTTGTACTGTAATTATATGCTTTATGTGGGTGTGCCTCCCACTAGTTTGTGAAATCATTTGAGCAAGGACATTATCTTCACCCTTTTATTGCCAGTGTCTAGCTTATTGGCTGGTGTGTTTTAGGTACTCAATAAATGTAGCAAAAAAGGAAGAACAAAAGTTTGTATACAATGGAATTTAAAATACTGTATATATTAGTTTGAAAACTCAACATCAAATTGGTCCAAGGGGTGTACTGAGGTTAAGGTTCTGTACTCAGTACTCTGTGCACCCTATCATGTTAGAGTGTATATTATGGATGTGCAGAGCAAGACATTCAAACTGTACAACATATGGTTGGAGATGAGAAATGGATAGGGAAAAATAAACATTGTAAATTAAGTGACTTTACCACCCACTTAAAAAAGTACAAATGTTTTAAGCACATAATATCTTCTCACAATGTTAAAAAATAGCTGATATTAGGAGATATTTTAGGTTTCTCTCAGATAAAAATGTTATAGTGAAAGAATAAACTTTAAAAGGTAAATTATGATGGTAGCAATCATCATGATCACCAATACTGCCTATTAATGAGTATCAGGTACTTTACAATCATTATTGTTGATATATACAGCATCTTCGCAAGGGAACTATTATTACTTTAATTTTAAAGATAAGGAAATTAAAGGTCAGAGATTTAAAAATCTTGCTAAAGTCTCACAGGTAATAAACACATTTGGCATGTGACAAGAACAACACAGTTAACAAAAGTAAACAAAAACAACAGTTAATAATATCTCTATTTCTCCAAGAGAAAATTGAGATATGCAATCATGTAGTTCATAAGTGGTTAGAGTTTGAGGTCTTCCTAACTCCAAAACTCTTGGCAATAAAATCAAAAGTGTAAGCCAATCTGTAATACCAGATTGAAGGATGCTAATTTAGATACACATGCTTATAGTTGTGAATATTTATCCCAAAATCTCTGGAAAAGTGGGTCAGTGAAACTGATGGTATTTTTATAGAAGGAAAAATAGAGGTTGAATAATGCAATGTGAAAGATATTAGGTTTTCAGATTCTGCTATGGTAATAGCTGAAATTAATTTCTCAGAAGCGAGGAATTTGGCAGAGGTATTTGGAGGTTGAGAATATCCCTAGGAGAACAAGAAGAAATTAAAAAATATAAGAGAGATGATCAAGGATAGAGAATCCCTGCTCACCTTTCCAGATGTCACAAAGTGGTGGCTCATATTTGAAAAATGATATGAAGAAAATTCCCCAGGGAAGAAATCAAACCAACAGCTTTAAAGAGCAAAATAGCTGCAGAAATGTTTAAAGGAGTACACAGACTGAGAAAACCGGGGTGAGGACTCAGTAGCAGAAATCCATAAAGAAATAACAAATCTGTAAAGATAGGCAGGGTGATGAGGAAAGAAAGAGAAGGCCAGACAATAATAAAGACACTTCCCACAGATGTCTAAGATTGTGCAGGAAATAAGACAGCAGTGGAGAGTAAAACAGTCACAGACAGGTTAAGTTGGTACTAAAGAAAAACAATGGTGATTCTTGCATTCTCTTTATGATGGGCGTGATCTGTAAAAATTTCAGAAACCAGAAAGAAAAAGGAATCTCAGCTGATGTAAAGTGCCAGCAAAGAATAAGTGACTTATTGGAAACTCACAGTTCAAGAAGTGAGTTCAAGATAGAAAGTACTCAAATGAAATGCTGTAGTTAAATTAAGTACATTTTCAGTTCAGTTCAGTTCAGTTCCGTCGTTCAGTCGTGTCCGACGCTGCGACCTCCTGAATCGCAGTATGCCAGGCCTCTCTGTCCATCACCAACCACCGGACTTTACTCAAACTCATGTCCATCGAGTCGGTGATGCCATCCAGCCATCTCATCCTCTGTCGTCCCCTTCTCCTCCTGCCCCCAATCCCTCTCAGCATCAGGGTCTTTTCCAACAAGTCAACTCTTTGCATGAGGTGGCCAAAGTATTGGAGTTTCAGCTTCAGCATCAGTCCTTCCAATGATTGCTACTGCTGCTGCTATGTCACTTCAGTTGGGTCCGACTCTGTGCGACCCCATAGACGGCAGTCCACCAGGCTCCCCTGTCCCTGGGATTCTCCAGGCAGGAACACTGAAGCGGGTTGCCATTTCCTTCTCCAATGTGTGAATGTGCAAAGTGAAAGTGAAGTTGCTCAGTCCTGTCCAACTCTTAGCGACCCCATGGACTGCAGCCTACCAGGCTCCTCCATCCATGGGATTTTCCAGGCAAGAGTACTGGAGTGGGCATTGCCTTCTCCGTTCCAATGATTAGAAATCATTAAATGTTTGATGATCACCATGACTAGATTTTGTTAGACATTTTCTTTAAAAAATTGATAGATATTTGTTAAAAGTCAGAGACTATGAAAGTAAACATTGACTTTTAGGTTTTTTGAAGCAACAGGCACCATCGTAGGAGAGGAAAAAGCTGATGGGTTGAGGACTCTGAAGTGATGTCATGCTTTAATAACAATTTTATTTCCATGAAGCAAATGTTTGATCATGCAAACAACAACAACACAAGTAGTTTCTCTTTAAGACCATCTGTCTAATAGCCAGGACATGGAAGCTACCTAGATGCCCATCAGCATACGAATGGATGAGGAAGCTGTGGTACATATACACCATGGAATATTACTCAGCCATTAAAAAGAATTCATTTGAATCAGTTCTAATGAGATGGATGAAACTGGAGCCCATTATACAGAGCGAAGTAAGCCAGAAAGATAAAGACCATTACAGTATACTAACACATATATATGGAATTTAGAAAGATGGTAACGATAACCCTATATGCAAAACAGAAAAAGAGACTCAGATGTATAGAACAGACTTGTGGACTCTGGGAGAAGGCGAGGGTGGGATGTTTCAAGAGAACAGCATCGAAACATGTATATTATCTAGGGTGAAACAGATCACCAGCCCAGGTTGGGTGCATGAGACAAGTGCTCGGGCCTGGTGCACTGGGAAGACCCAGAGGGATCGGGTGGAGAGGGAGGTGGGAGGGGGGACCGGGATGGGGAATACATGTAAATCCATGGCTAATTCATTTCAATGTATGACAAAAACCACTGCAATGATGTAAAGTAATTAGCCTCCAACTAATAAAAATAAATGGAAAAAAAAAAAAAGACCATCTGTCTAAACATTGCTGAAATATGTGAAGACATATCCCTCCAACACCATCAGCAGCCCATATGCAATGGTGGGGGGATGTTTGTGAAAGGTGCATAATTCAAGGTGCC